TTAAATGTTACATTTATTTCAATATCAGATATTAATAGAATACTATCCGCCAGTAGGATGTAAAATCCAGTTTAATTGGCTGACTGATTAAACATATTGTTTAACTAGTTAACTGATTAAAGGGGGACAAGTGGTGGTGGTGGTGGGTTTCCTCCAGCTTAGCTGGATTGGCCCTCTTGCCTGATGCTGGGCTGGAATGCCTCCCTTCTCCCCCGCCTCCTTTCTCTCCCTGCCACAGGCAGGGGCTGCCCCAGCCGAGCGCCCAGGCCGGTGTCCAGCATCCCTGGGTTTAAGTAATAGATTTTCTGACTAATACTTGATGTGTCCTACTTACAGTATTTTATAGTTTGTGATATTCCTATTTTCTATCTGTCTTTTTTGTTTGTTTGTTCTGTATTAGAATGTGATGCACCTTTTTAATAAGTTGTCTTTAGTGTCTTCTTCCTCTCTCCTTGTCTTTCCATGGACTGTTCTATGCCTCCCCATTTGCAATGTCTGCCTTTCATATTGTTTTCCACTTATGATCCCGAATGCAGTCACCATGATCCCAAAAGTATAGTCATACATCTGACGAAGTGGGTCTTTGCCCACGAAAGCTTATGCTCCAATACAGCTGTTAATTTATAAGGTGCCACAGGACTTTTCGTTGTTTAGCTTTAGTTTGTAGGTGTTACAATAAATGAAAAGGCCCGTGCCATACCAAAATCCTAGTAAGAAGGAATATTTTCTTGTTTTGTAGTCCTCCTCACCCAGCGATGAGCAACCTAGGCTAGTGATGAGACGCATGAGTTGCACTCCTTCGTCTCAGTGGGCGGCAAAATTGTCGAAACCAAGATTGTTTTTTGGGATAAGGTATTTTTGCTAATTGTGCTTGTTACCTAGAATTTGCAGGGTGTGCTGATGGAACTATAGTAGTGATTTGATTAGATGCAGAGGGAGTGCATGGCTCTCGTGGTCAGTGCACACCTTACTTCATGTGCTCTGCTTTACATGCGTGTCACCTTAGTTTTTTCCTAACTGTATGACTGTGGATGGAAACCACCAGAATCTGGCACCCTGCATGTGGGCAACAGCAAACAAAATGTCTTGTTGGTCCACATGCAGCTGGTGGACTGCAGGTAGCCCATCACTGTTCTCACCAGTCCCATTGGTTTTGTGAGATTTATGCTATTAGCTGTCTGGATGGTGCAAGATGAGTGTCTCCTGTAGTCTACCCCTTTCTTTTTTTCCATATCTGAATACTTCTGTTGAATATCTCCATATCTTTACTTTATAACTGTCTAGCACTTTCCCAGGCAGTTGCAAACTGAAATCAACCTCTTTTACAAATGCTTTGTTGCCTTACAGTAGTACCAGTTAAAACCAGCAAGTCTCATCTTTCACATCTTATTGGAATTTATGGCAGGATCTGCATTTTGAAGGATTTAGTCTACAGACTTAGAATCATAGAATAATAGGACTGGAAGGGACCTCGAGAGGTCATCGAGTCCAGCCCCCAGCCCTCAAGGCAGGACCAAGCTCCGTCTACACCATCCCTGACAGATGTCTATCTAACCTGTTCTTAAATATCTCCAGAGAGGGAGATTCCACCACCTCCCTTGGCAATTTATTCCAATATTTGACCACCCTGACAGTTAGGAATTTTTTCCTAATGTCCAATCTAAACCTCCCCTGCTGCACTTTAAGCCCATTACTCCTTGTCCTGTCCTCAGTAACCAAGAGGAACAAATTTTCTCCTTCCTCCTTGTGACACCTTTTTAGATATTTGAAAACCGCTATCATGTCCCCCCATAATCTTCTTTTTTCCAAACTAAACAAGCCCAGTTCATGAAGCCTGGCTTCATAGGTCATGTTCTCTAAACCTTTAATCATTCTTGTCGCTCTTCTCTGTACCCTTTCCAATTTCTCCACATCTTTCTTGAAATGTGGCGCCCAGAACTGGACACAGTACTCTAGCTGAGGCCTAACTAGTGCAGAGTAGAGTGGCAGAATGACTTCACGAGTTTTGCTTACAACACACCTGTTGATACAACCTAGAATCATATTTGCTTTTTTTGCAACAGCATCACACTGTTGACTCATATTCAACTTGTGGTCCACTATGACCCCTAGATCCTTTTCCGCCATGCTCCTTCCTAGACAGTCGCTTCCCATCTTGTATGTATGGATCTGATTGTTCCTTCCTAAGTGGAGCACTTTGCATTTCTCTTTATTAAACCTCATCCTGTTTACCTCTGACCATTTCTCTAACTTTCTAAGGTCATTTTGAATTATGTCCCTATCCTCCAAAGAAGTTGCAACCCCACCCAGTTTGGTATCATCTGCAAACTTAATAAGCGTACTCTCTATCCCAATATCTACATCATTGATGAAGATATTGAACAGTACGGGTCCCAAAACAGACCCTTGAGGAACTCCACTTGTTATCCCTTTCCAGCAGGATTTAGCACCGTTAACAACAACTCTCTGACTACGGTTATCCAGCCAATTATGCACCCACCTTATCGTGGCCCTTTCTAAGTTATATAGGCTTAGGAAGGCTTGCAGGTTTTATTCTTGGGAATACAGTGCCAAATTAATTTATGCTTGGTCAACATTGGAACATTAATTTCAGAACTGTAAGGACCTAGAAGCCTTTTTATTTATTTTTTTAAAGTTTTGCCTCTGTGGAAGCTGATGAGGCTCACCTGGGAAAATTTCCTTCTTTCCTAGAGCTGATGGATTTTTGAAGAAGTCAGAGGGAGAATTTTTCTTTGTGTGTTTGATATGTGTGTAGTCAGTTTTGCTTTGTTGATTGTCACTTGCACTTCATGTGTCATGCAAGAAGACAGTGACCTCACTGTGATCTGAGGAGAGCTCAATTTTAGTCTTTCCCCAGCCTACAAGAAGGTTTCTGTCAGTAACACAGCAGCTAAGTTGTTGCTGTTTGAGTTTGAGTCCAGGACTTGACTCCTTTTCTGTGAACCTGTGCATGGACCTGGGGAGCAGTAAAAGCACTGTTGAAACTTATGCACAGGGTTGAGGAGTAATAGGAGCTTAGGGGATGGAAAGCTCTTTCTGCTTCCTACAAAAGGTCAGGAAGTGATATACAGTTGAGAGCTGCAAATACTTTGTTCCTTTCCTAGATGCCCTCCTGGGAGTGGGGAACAATAGGAGTCTGGAAAATAGAAATAGAGTAATTGCAAGCGTCCTTCTACAGGTCTGAAATTTCCATTTTCATAATGGAAGACTTTAGTTGTTGCTGATGAGAAAAGGCAGGCAGGAATGAGTATGGTGGAGGGAATTAGGAGGGGCCCAGGCACATGTTGCACTGTTTGTTTGCTCACCCTTGCTGAAAAATAACAAGGAAGAAGAAAATCCATAACTTTCATAGAAAGTGTTTTTGGTTTTTCTTTTTCAATCGGGATTTATTATTTAAAGGTTGCTGTATCAGAAATTTGAAAAGAAAAGTTGATAGTACCTCTTCCAATATCAGGTAGCACAATGCTTCTGGATAAAATATATTTAGTAGAAATTAAAAATTATTGCTGTTGCCACCGTTTAATATTGAGAGAACGTTGTCATTGTTGTTGAAGGTATATTAAATTTCCTGCTTTGGAAATAGGCAGCCTTCCACTGTAGCATTTCTTTTCAATAAATGTTTTGGTAGCTCCAGGATATCTGTCGTCTTCTGTTCAGTTGTCAGTCCTGTTTTTTGGAAATGTAGAATTTCCTATGTGATTGTTTCTAGGTTAACCTTCATTCCCTAAATATTAACTAGGGAGGCAAGTTCTTAAAGGATCCACCAGCTAGTTATAGAAAGTTCTTTTTGTTTTCATGTCTATTTCTGTATTCCCTTTTTCAACAAAGAAAAACAAACAGTAGATATTCAATACACCAATTGTGTATGCACTTAATGGAACTGAAATAATGTAATCTGGTTATTGGTGGTGATTTTATTATTTATTGCCATACTTCTGACCAACTTAGTGGCTCCTTAATGCCAAAAGAGCCCTTTAAAAATCAAAACAAACAAATAAGCTCCTCCCAAAAAAACTAAATAATAGTGTGATTTGCATTAATATGGAATATAAATGCACTTTCCAAATAAGTATATATTCCTGAAGATGCTAGAGACTTGAAAAAATGGGAAGTCTCTTTGCAAAATTTAATCATTTAGGTTATACAAAGTAAGGTCGAAATACTTAAAATCCATAGTAAATTCTAACCAAATTGTCAAACTTTAGGTGATAGAGTATAATTGTTCTGATTGAGGGATATATGTAGCTTATGCTACTGATTATAAGTAAAGTTTGAGGGAGTAATTAGAATCAGCAGTCCTTAATTAATCTTGATGCCTTCGTTTTAATGTGCAATTTAAACAAAATATTTTTATTAAAAAATGGCTGTGCATTAGATTTAGTAGCATCAAAGTCAGTGGAGCTGATCTGCAAATTAGTCAACAATTTAGATTCGTAGGGAATGCTCTATCAACTTCAATTGTTTTTGATTAGTTAACAGCTTGGATTTGTCTGAAATCAGTGAAGCAATTATGTGGAACATTTATTATGCAGATCAAAAATAACAAATTCATTTTTTAAAGACAGTTCACTACCCCTCTCTCTCTTCAGGAAAAGAAACAGATCCATTGTTCTTGTGTTAATCAGAAAAACTATGAATACAAAGCTAGGAATGAAACATCCAATATTTAACCTAATTAAAGCACCCATCTTAATGTCACCTAGCAGTTTGATCCTTAAATCTGATTTTTCACAATTTTGTGGTTGTAAGACAGAATGGTAACCCACCTTTCATGTATAAAGTGGTTTTTTTCAGGTAGGTATTGTCATATCAACAATTTAACATGTTTACAACTTTTCAAATTAAACTGATGTTTAGTACCAAAAATTGGTCCAACTAATGACCAAAGTTGTTTAAATTGTCACATGAACACATCTTTATGCAAAATATTGTTGGAAAAAGTTTCACAATTGACACCTTTCCATTTGTTGTTGTTCAAGGTATCCATCTCGTATTGAGAAAATAGACTATGAGGAGGGGAAGATGTTGGTTCATTTTGAACGATGGAGTCATCGTTATGATGAATGGATTTATTGGGACAGCAATAGATTACGCCCCCTGGAACGACCAGCACTAAGGAAAGAAGGGCTAAAAGATGATGATGAATTTGTTGTAAGGAGCAAATTTTTTTGACTTCTTGTACAAATTACTGTATTTAGGCTCAGAAGAGTTAGGTTTTTATTAGTTAATGTCTGTAAACCAATTTCACAGACACAAACTGATGAAAAATATTTCTATTAATGATGATAAAAATTTACACAAAGTAAAAAAAAAAAGTGCTGCTTGAGAACTTAAGGATATTTAGTTTATATACATTTTAATTTGTATATTTTGAAATGTGATTTTTGGTAATTTGTGTGATAACAATTATAAAAGTTTACCTTTTTGAACGTCAGAAGCTACTGTCATAAGTGTCCCACCACTTCCCAGAGTTGTCAGAATGTTGATCAATGAACATTTAAAAAATACTTAAAAATAAAAACCAATATGATCTGTTGAAGTTATTAAAAATTGAATGATATTACTTTTTTCAAGCTAACTATTGCTAAGTTATAAAACTTAAGTTTGTTTAGGAAAGGTTTGCAGGGCAAGGTATTAACAATTACAATTGTTTAAAATAGGATTTTAAAGCTGGAGAAGAGGTACTGGCTCGTTGGACAGATTGTAGATATTATCCTGCCAAGATTGAAGCAATTAACAAGGAGGGTATGTATGTAACTATGAGCACTGCTATAATCTGTTTAAAATAAAAATATGTTTGCATACAGTTTTATTCACACATTAAACATAGCTAGGGCCCTACCAATTTCATGGCTGCGAAAAACGCATCACGGACCTTAAAATAAGCCCTTTCTGTGAAATCTGATGTCTCCTTGTTCCTAGGAGTGCCTCATCAAAGGGGCTTGCTACCTTGGACTGGGCAGGGAAAGGACAGGATCTGTTCCTCCCCTGCAAACTCCTCTGGTAGTGTGAGGGGGACTAGACTAGACCCATCTCTACCTCTTGGAACATCCTGGGGTGCAGGAAGCTCTGAAATTGCTGCCTTCAGAGTCTAGCTGTGAAAGTAGCACAGAAGTGAGGATGGCAATCTCATGATCCCCCTACAACAGGTTTGTGACCCCCTCTCCACCTCCTTTTGGGTTGGTTCCCCACAGTTACAACACTGTTATATTTCAGGTTTCAATAGCTGAAGACATGAAATTTACAAATTTTCAAATCCTGTGGATTTGGTTTAGTGAGCATTTACCATGTTTTATTTCTTCATAGATAAAAACTTTTCTTGCATTCATTAGTGATGTAATTTTCATTTATAGTAGCAGGAAAAACATCCTTGCCTCAATATTATAGAGCCCTTCACTACACTGTTGGCTTTGGTTAACATTAATATGTTTACAGTACCTCAATTCTTCCAGGAAACATTTAAAATATCATTTTTTAGCTTTTGTAATCAGTGAACTAAGATAAAGTAAATACAATATTAAAAGGAAAATGCAAGCCAGGTCAGGCACAAAATGTAAAGTAGTTTGTTTGCCATATATTTTAAAACCAAAACAATGCCTTTTATTCTGTTTAAAAACTGATTTTTTTTTTGCGTGTGGATTTAAATGTAGTGAAAACATGTGTCATCATTGGTTTAATAAACTGGAAATTTATATACAAAAAGAAAGCAGTACTTATTGTCCAAGCTGTGAGAAATGCAGGATTTGGTCGTATTTAAAGTAGGTTTTAGTTTAACTGTCCAAGGTCCTGAAATCACAGTTATCTCAGTAACTTTATGTACTTGTCTGATAATCCCATTGAACCTAAATAGTGAGTTTTTCATTGTGAGTAAAGAGGGGGTTTTAAACACTTCTGACTTCTGTCTTGATGTGATCCAATGAGGGTATGTAACTGTAACTATAAAGGGAAATTTTTTAATTAGATATTCAGTTCTATAGTATTTGCAGAACCAAAGCACTCACCGATGTCACATGTAGAACTAGATCTATATATTTGTAGCTTTTTGAGGAAATGGTGAAGAAGGTATGTTTCTAACAGCTTACAGTGATTGCATCAATCCTGTTTTAGGAACCTTCACAGTACAGTTCTATGATGGAGTTATTCGATGTCTAAAAAGGATGCATATCAAATCTATGCCTGAGGATGCCAAAGGGCAGGTGAGGATATTAGGTGTTTTTTCTTGCTTGTTTTATTGACTACTCAGCAGGGCATGTGGGATTAATAGTGGCCTGAGAACAAATTAGCTGCTGAATGCCACATGTAGGAAGAGTTATGTAATACAAGTTATTTTAAACTTGGTTCTGCCTTCTCTTTAGGTCTTCAGTATGTTGGTTCACCAGTTCTTATCTGCTGAGGATGTCCTAGCATGCACTGTGATATTGATATCACCTCAGTCCTGAAACCTCTGAGTGCAGTATGCGCTCCTCACTGACTCATCTGTTCCCTGACCATTCTTTTTCCAATGATCCTGACCCAGGATCACATTAGCGTCAGCCTCTTGCTGCATTGTTATCTGCATTCTGTTGAGTTTCTGTACAAATATTAGTTGTATATAACTCAGAGGTAGGAAGTTAAATATTACTTGACCCGATTTTACAAATCGGGAAAGTTGGGCAGGAAGGTTGCAATTTGAATAAAAAAGAATAGTGAGCTGGGATTAGAGTTCAGAAGTTCCTGGCTCTCAGTTTCGTCCTTGTTCCACTAATCATGTTTTTTGTTGCACTATTGAAGTACTACTTTGTAGCTAAAGGCCCCTCTGGCTTGTCAGCAGAGAAACAAGCTCTGTTGATACAACCAGCCAATGACTGGGAGGAAGTCTGTAGGAGTGCTGGTGCCATAGAGGCATCCCCAGTCACACTCTTATAAGCACCATAAATTATTCTGGTTTTCTTCAAATATTGTGACATTTATGGTGGTGGATTTCAAGTATGTGAGGCCAAACCTGAATGACTATGGTTAAGATCTTTAGGAAGAATCACTTGGACAAAACTGGTAATTTTGGTGATTACTTTTTATTTCTAGACAGTCTAAAAATGTTCACATTTAAAATGAAAGATGGGTTTAACCTTGACATTTTGAAGACCCCAAAATTGGAGGGAGGAGCATAAATCTCAGTTCCAAAGCATGTTTTGGCTTTTGAATTAAGGTAGTAATATAACTGTTCATCAAAAAATTCCATTTTTATTTCAAAAGAACTTTTTTGTAAAAAGAAGAATATATCTTAAGATTAGTTTTAGATAACGTTGACCTTTAAACCAACATTTCATTTCAAACGAAAAAACTGTTCTATTTTCACAGAAGGCACTTATCAGGAATTATTGGACAGGCATGAAGTTTTTGTATAATTTCTCAAAGAACACTCCTTCTCTGACCCCCCCCCATTTGATGGAAGTCTTGCATCAGATGAACCTGTAATACTATTTGTTAAATTCAGACCCATAATGTTTTTCTTGTTGTGACTTCTGCTCTTCTGCTCCCCTCCCAGAATACGTGTATAGAAATCCCATCTTGAGAGAGTTGGCATTTAGGTTTAAAATTGTATTAATTCTAAAATAATAGTAAGGTATTAATAAGCAATTTTTTAAAAATGTTGAATATGCATAAAAATATGTAAGCTGACCTGAGATTCATATGGACAGCATTTTTAAATCACTAAAAGTTGACTAAAATTACTTTTTTAGTACTTTTAAAAATAGTGAGTCCATATAAAATATTGATAGAAATGTAGCCGTGTTAGTCTGGTGTAGCTGAAACAAAATACAGGACTATGCAACACTTTAAAGACTAACAAGATGGTTTATTAGATGATGAGCTTTCGTGGGCCAGACCCACTTCCTCAGATCAAATAGTGGAAGAAAATAGTCACAGCCATATATACCAAAGGATACGATTAAAAAAAAATGAACACATATGAAAAGGACAAATCACATTTCAGAACAGAAGGGGGATGCAAGCGGGGGGGGGGGGGGGGGGGGAGTTGGAAAGAAAGTTAAATGCCTGTGAGTTAATGATATTAGAGGTGGGGAAGGGTAGATGTCTGTGAGTTAATAGTATTAGAGGTGATAATTGGGGAAGCTATCTTTGTAATGGGTAAGATAGCTGGGTTCTTTGTTCAGCCCCCCTGCAGAGTGTCGAATTTTAGCGTGAATGCCAGTTCAGAGGATTCCCTTTCAAGTGCAGATTTGACAGGATCATAAGGAAAAAACAGTTGCTTGCCATTTCAACCAGAAAGGACACTGTCTCAATGACCTACTCACCTGCATCCTACTTCAGAAAACATTCAAATCTGCACTTGAAAGGGAATCCTCTGAACTGGCATTCACGCTAAAATTCGACACTCTGCAGGGGGGCTGAACAAAGACCCCGGCTATCTTACCCATTACAAAGATAGCTTCCCCAATTATCACCTCTAATACTATTAACTCACAGACATCTACCCTTCCCCACCTCTAATATCATTAACTCACAGGCATTCACCTTCCTTTCTCCTCCCCCTCCCCCCCCCTCCCTTTCCCCCCCCCCTCCGGCATCCTCCTTCTGTTCTGAAATGTGATTTGTCCTTTTCATATGTGTTCGTTTTTTTTAATTGTATCCTTTGGTGTATATGGCTGTGACTATTTTCTTCCACTATTTGATCTGAGGAAGTGGGTCTGGCCCACAAAAGCTCATCATCTAATAAACCATCTTGTTAGTCTTTAAAGTGCTGCATAGTCCTGTATTTTGTTTCATATAAAATATAACATTCCTGAAATTTTTATGTAAGGGTTTTTCTGCTCCCTTCTTTTGTTTGTTGTCTCTTGTGTGTACCTAAAAGCAGTTCATTGGTGTTGCAAGTGACCGTCAGAACAGTGAAAGTGGGTCACACCCAATGCACTTGAAAATGTGCAAATGAAGCACATTGAAGAAAATGTTATTCTTTGATTTTTGTATTTCATAATCTTTTGGGAGTTATTTGTAACAAAAATAGTTGTAATATTTTCAGATGGAAATGTGATTTTTAAGTTCATATGCACTCTTTAAAGTGAGTGATACTATAGAACTTGTAACATTCTAAGTCCATTTTAAATACTACAATATTTGTGTGTATTCAAAAGTTTCAGCTGTGAGGGTGGAAAGGCAAAAACTATACAACATTTTTATATTCTTATGTATATGGAAACTACAGACCAGGTTCCTGCTTGGACTAGCTATGTTTTAAAATTTGGACACAAATTGCAACTGAACTGGAGAAGAAGAGAAATGGAAAAGGGGGAGAATGAAAACTACCCTTGAGGAGCACGTACAAATAATCAAGATAACGTATTTGTTCTGTTTCATGTTTCTTTTGTTTTATCTTCAATATAATTAGGGGCGCGAGAGGGAGCAGATAGCGCCGGAGCTGAGATTAGTGACGGAAATCGAACCAAAAGAAGTGAGTTTTGAGGAGGGATTTGAAGGAGAGGGAGGGAACTTGGTACATAGGAAGAAGCAGCTGAGGAAACCAGGCACAATTGGGACAGAATCAAAGAAAAGATAGGAGAAAACAAGAGCGGAGATATAGGTGGGGTAGTGCTGTATAGGTGTTTAACATGAGAGCAAGGAATCCAGTCTTGGTTTAGGAACAGCTAGAAAGATGTGGCTGGGTGGGGTGGGATGGAGGATGTGGTCAGAGTGGCAGAAGAGGAAAATAACTGCAGTATTTTGGATAGAGAAATGAAGACGTGGTAGTTATGATAGCTGAAGAGAGAGGTGGCAAGACATAAATCCAGGTGTTAGAAATGCTACTGCTTTTTGCCTTCCCACTGTTGCAGTTATAAAATTATAAACTTAATTATATTAAAATGCAATTGTTCTAGCCAATCAATGTATAGGAATAGCGAATGGTTCCTGCTAACTTATTTCTTTATTATGCAGTTTCCTAAAGTTTGGCTTAGTTGATCTGACTGTTGTAATGACTATGGTTTGCTTTGCCATCCCTGAACTCTAGCAAGGGTCATTCTTAACCAGTTGGAACACAGTGATTTCCTTAATAACTTATGCAGATCTTTTTGCCTTGACTTTTCTCAGAATTCTTTCTATTTATCCAAAACTGGAATTGTTGCTTTAATCTACTGACTGCTTCCTGTAGCCCTGGACATGATATGGCTTAATTGAAGAAGATGTGTGTAATGGGATTAGGAGGAGAAAGAAAGGAACATGGAAGAACATTCAGTAGGAGGAAGTATTAAGGGGGGAAAAAAGGTCATTTGGTGTCATCTCTGTGGCTTGGAAGTTAAAACCACCATGTTGGCTTCAGTTTGATCACAGGGAATCCTGAGAGCAGTGGCTAATCAGAATAAAGTGCTTTATAATGACTGATCAGACCACCGGAGAGGAAGGGAATGAACTTATTTCAGGAGAACTAGACTTGGGATTGCTCTGTTCGGACTTAGTAATAAATGGAGCCTGGGGTTTGTAACTACTGCACGTATCATAAAAGCTGCTGTTTCTGATGTGATTAAAGTTATTTGAATGACAGATTACTGGGAATCTAGCTGCATCTCAGTATTGTGGTTGTCTGTTAGGTTAGAAACGGGCACTCCTAGTTTAAGAAAGACTTCATATTTAGAAGTAGGGTCCACTTCTGTTCTTCATCTTCTCTTTATTTTTCCTTATACAAGTTTTATAAAGTCTTGTAATAGACTCTGAGCTTACATTTGAATATGCTTTCTTTTGGAACAGAAATTCTGTGCTTATCAAGAGAAGAATATATCCCTTAGTTTCTTACACATGAAATGATTTGTGATGGGGCACTCAACCAAAATAAAAAAAGACCAGCAAAGTCTCTGGTCAGTTTCCTTTATTGTGTACAACAGCCTTTAAACACTAAACCAAAACAATATTAATAAGACAGTTCTTGTCTCTAGATTTTCCTGTCTTGGCTGGGGATGTTAAGGGCTAGTAGATTTCTCCGCCCCCCCCTCTTGCTGCCTCTGAAATAGAGGCAGCGAAGCGGGGGGGAGAGGGGTACTTAAAAGGGGCAGCACTGTGCATGGAGCCCGGGGTCAACTGGGGACTCCCCAGCCAATCCCGGGCTCTAGCATGGCATTTGGGGAATCCTCAGCTGTTCCCGGGTTCTGTTGAAATACCACACTGAGCTTGAAATCATCTGGGGAGCTTGGAACTAGCTGACCCCGTCTCGGTGGCATTTCAAGTCAGCAACGCAGCATGGAGCCTGTGCTCCAGAAGCTGATGCCCCTTAGTCCACTCAAGAACCCACACCACCTCCCTGCCTTCAGAGGGTACATTATCTTGCCTTTCTAATGTGGGAGCCAGCTCCATCCCTGGGGCAGCCCTCAACTGGGGCTCTTGTACATTTTAAAGGAGGAATGCGGAAGTGCTATCAACTAGTCAGGTAGTCGATGGAAATTCCATAGACTACTCGACTAGTCAATTAACCGTTACTTAGTCTTGGCTTCTAGTCATGGGGCCTCCGTGTGGTTTCTCCTTATCCGAACCTCCAAAACCCTGTATGGCTCTGAGATTAGCAAAGCTTGTGAATAAGTATAGGTAGAGACCAAGCCCAAATCACTCTACTATGTGTGACATTGTCACATGGGAATGTCAAAGCCTGACTTTAAGAAATCTTGCTGGGATTTAACCCCTAAATCACCATGCTGCTGTCTAGCTCATCAGGACCCTCAATTATGGAAGTCACTGGGGCAATGCCACAGACAGGGCACAAAAGGATCTGTACATTCCAGCACACGCTCCTGTAATTTTATTTACATCTATCAACTTTGATCTAAACTGCACTAAATAAATACAAATTTAAATACAAATTACAGAAGGGGGATGATCAGCATACATGAATTATAAGTATCTTCATGAGACACTCTCCCTTTTACCTTTTTACTGTTGTTTTCCTGTATTGTCTCTTGCATTTTAAGCTCTTTGGCTCTAGCACTGTCTTTTCTCTCCCATCTATAAAGTACCATCCATATCTCTGGTGCTGTATAAATAATATTGGTACCACATGAACTTGCACCAAGTGAAGGGTTTCTTAAATTTTGTGATGGGCACAAATGAGTATGCAATACATTGTTGACAATTCACATGTCTACACTTTTACAATTAATTCCATAGGTTAGCTGGGAAGATATTCATACTATAAACTCTTTTGGGCAGGGACTTTGTCTTCATATGTATTGTGGGTATTATCTAAATCTGTGTGGTGGATAGCAAGTTAATGATATTCAGACACATACATAACTAACTTATCCTGGGAACTGCAGAAGAATAAGGGGAGAAAGTGAAGCAAGTAATGTCATAGAGAAAAAACTGTGACCGTCACAGAAAAGCTATCTGATCTTCTTGCATCAGTGTGTAACTTCCTGAAAAAGGGGCCTTGTTTATTATTGATGTTGAAACTCTTTGTCACAAAATGTGTAATTTATTACATAATGGAGATGCATAGTCAGTGCAAAACAGTGGTAGAAATATGTATTAAAGGTTGGGCTGTATGAAGAAGGGTTAGAAAATAATGCAGGAAAAACGTTTTAACTGAAACTATGTCCACATGATGCCATAAAGTGGCACAGAAAATAGAAAAGGTCTATGGAATGGTAATTGGAAAAGTTTGAGGTATTGGGTGGAAAGTTTTCATCTGTAATGAGATTGAAAAGACTAGGATTGTTTAGAAAGAAGTAAAGTATGAGTGAAAGACAATCAGGTACTGTTTTTTTTTTAAGGTATCCCATAATAATGTAACAGAAACAATCCAGATTAAATACAGCACATTTAAAATGAATAAAGGAAATATTTTATTGCTTACAGATTGCAGTCCCCACAAAACAGAGAAGAAAATGTAGTCTTTGCTCTTGAGATCTTATAACATGTATTTCTCTCTCTCTCTCAAACACACACACACATATGCACAAACAGTACAGTTTAAACATAACACAGCATGTTTAGATATAAATTATGAGATTAAACAAATGGTCAGATCTTTTAATTCAAAAAGTAAAAAAATGAATTCAGTTGGTCGATACAATTGTGGTTATGTAGCATTAATTTTGGAGGGAAAATTGCTGCAAAATGTAAAGACGAATGTCTTAGTGTGGTAGAGTTGTCAAGTAGTTAGAAAAGAGGATCAGGAGTAAGGATGTAAGCAAGTAGTCAACCACTCTCTTTTCCCCACCTTCCCCCTTTTGCCTCTGTATCAAAGGCAGTGCAAGCGTGGGGGAAGCAGGAGCCGGCTTAAAAGAGGGAAAGTTAGAATTCTCCTGCCCATCTATTGTACAGTTTGCTGGACATGTCTGGGGTACAGAGGGATTGGTCTTCCATTTGAAATAGCTAGGTTAGTGTAGACCACAGCTAGAGACAAGATAATAGAGTTAATGGTCCAGTGGTCTGTTTTAGTCTGAGAGTTCTAGTTTGCTGCAACTATTGTAGAATATAGATCAGTCATTAGAGCACAATATTGCTTGAGAGGCTAATCATAGAAAGTGACTTCCGTATGCATTGGTGGTGTGTGTTTGTTTGTTTGTTGTTTTGTTTTTTAAATCCATAAGGTAGATTCTAGTTACAATATGTAGGCAATTTGGGAAATACGTTTTACTGAATCATGGATGATAGAAAACTAAACATAAATGTGTTTGACCATTTCTGGAAGAGATTGCTCAATATTTGTAAAAAGATTCTGTTTGAATGTCATAAATAGCTACTAATGCTGCTCCACTTTTGTTTTCTTTTTGGAGGATTGGATAGCTTTGGTCAAAGCTGCTGCAGCAGCAGCAGCCAAAAACAAAGCAGGAAGTAAACCTCGGACCAGTGCAAACAGCAATAAAGATAAAGAGGAGAGAAAATGGTTTAAATTATCTTCAAAGAAGGAAGAAACCTCAACCTCTACAATCATACAGGAAGTCCAGAAAAAGGAAGAGGAGCCTACATCTAGTGAAACGTTTGGTACAAACTGTATTCCTGTACTTATTTTTTTTTAAAGACTACAAATGCTGGGTTTTTTTTGCCTTCCCGTTTACTCTTGGCCTCAGAATCTCTTTTGTTCATGTTGCAACATGGTACTGCCAATGGTTCTAGACTAGAGGAATATGGTATTTGTATCATAGTAGACTTGAGTACTGAAATCTGGAACAGTGTTAATCACTCTAGATTTATGTGCAAATTTCTGCATTCTGATTGGCTCCTCCGAGATTAAAAAAAAAAATCACAAGGGAAAATGAAAAAAAGAGATCTAGAAATATATCAAACTAAAATTCTATAGATTCATGGTTATAATGGAGATTTCTAGATTTTTTTTCCTAAGGCAATGACGATTTGTCTCCATATTTAGCGGCTACCTAAATTTTACCTCTGAATTAGTAAATCTTGATATTCACTTTAAAAAATGTTAATATCTGTTTTCTTATAACTTGTAGCATTGTGCTTAAAATTTCAAGGTAACATGTTTTAAAAATGTTTATGCATGCTGTTAATTGTAAAACTTTAAGGTGCCTGTAATGGCTCATGAAAGACTAAAATATATTTTGTTTTGAAATATTTACAGTTGATTAAAATGTTTATGAAATGTGCACTTGTTGATGAACTCTTCCATGTCTGTTCTTTTAAAAGCAGGATTCCCAGTAGTGGATGTTCCAAAGATGGCGTTTGTGCGGGCAGAGAGCACATTATCGCACAAGAGGAAAAATAATTTAGGCAACTCATTTCAGGCAAAGAGAGCTCGTCTTAACAAGATCACTGGTAAACTCTTTTATTGAAAACATTGCTACTTTTTATGTTTATGCTTGTAAATAGACTGTATATACATATCAGTATATGTCTGTTTATTATACTAATACTTTGCAGTTATTGTTCTTGAGGTTCTCAAAGCACTTCACAAAGTAATAAAGCCAATCCAGTTACAAAATTTTGACATAAGGTCTATGATTTGATCCCTGGCCTGCCCACATCTTGAATACTATGTACAAACCTCTTCTAAAAAAAGATGTATTGGAATTGAAAGGGTATAGAAAAGGGCAACAAAAATGAATAGAAATATGGAATGAGTGCTATATTAGGAAAGATTAACAAGACTGGGATTTTTTTTTCAACTTGGAAAAGAGACTAAGGTGGGATATCGTTGAGATGTATAAAATCATGATTGGTATGCAGAAAGTAAATAAGGTGTTATTTTACTACTCATAATACAAGAACTAGGGGGTCACCAAATGAAATTAATAGGCAGCAGGTTTAAAACAAATAAATGGAAGTACTTCTTCACACAGTACTGACACCTGGTAAAATTCCTTGCCAGAAAAAGCTGTGAAGTCCAAGACTATAACAAGGCTCAAAAAATAATTAGATAAATTCAGGGAGGATAGATCCGTCAATGGCTGTTAGCTAGGATGGGCAGCGATGGTGTCTCTAGCTTCTGGCAACCAGAGGCTAGAAATGAGCGACAGGGAGTGGATCACTTGATAATTACCTATTCTATTCATTCCTTCTGGGGTATCTGCATTGGCCACTCTTGGAAGACAGACTAGATGGATATTTGGTCTGACTGAATATGGCCGTTCTTATATTATTATGTTCTTAAAGACCAAAAGGTTTGGGTGCAGGTGAGCAAAGGGAGGAATTCTAAATAAGCTCCTAAAAACAAAAGGTTGAAAACATAACTTATATTTGTAGGCCTGTTTTTGAAGCACAGCTACTTCGGGATTGAGGGTCATACAATTTAAGGCTCCTTTTTCCTCTCTGGCGATGGAATTGTAGTGCCTGGTGCTAATCCTCATTTATAATACTTTTTGTTCTTTTAAACAAAGACTCAATTCAAGATGGTTTAAGAGAAAACCTTTATACATGAAAATGTTGTTTTTCACTTGTGTGGACGTTTCTTAATCCTTGTGATAGCAAACAGTAGAATAAAAAACCAGCCTATTCTAAATACAAATTTTTGTGCAACTTTTCTCTTAAGGTTTGTTGGCGTCCAAAGCCGTTGTTGTGGATGGTGCTGAAAAAAAAGAAGGCAACAAAGAAACAGCTCCAGTCCTGGAGCAGGTATGAAATGGTAGAGTTTGATTCTTTTGCAAGGTTCCCACTGGAGTGTGCCATGGAGACATAGTATCCATAACAAAATCGCCCCTTCAGAAACAATAATAGGGAACTAAATATTTGATCTTAATGTTTACATCTCTGCATAGCCAGAAGCATACAAGCAAATTGACATCGATCATGGTGTTAACTTTAATTATTGTTAATGAGTTACTATCTCCAAGGAATCAAAGGCTAGGAAGCAGCAGTTCCGTGGATTTATCGCTGGAACCATGAGTACAACTGGCTAAGAAAAAGACCCTTACACAAATTTAGTTTGTGGTTTGAACCAGGGTTTTTGGCATCTAGGAAAACTTCTTTTGTAAGAAGTTTTTATTTCTATTATAAAAATTGGTGTTGTAGACTGTGTGTTTTATGAACTGTTCAATGAGCCATACATTTTGCTAAGATGTATATTTTAATACATACAAAAAAGAAACTTTAAAAAATGTTAGAGTTCTGTTTTAAAACCACTTTTTGAAGTAGTGAAGGTTGCCTCCCTGTCTCTGGCTCATTGCATTGTGTTGAGGTGTTGCTTGAGTCTCAGAATTGTGCATGATCTTGCATGCTAAAAGGACTGACTACCTAAGCACAGTAAGGCAAGCTAAGGATGAAGTGGCAGCCTTATCTCTTGATAACTTTACTTTTTTGGCTTAAATAAGAGCCTTAATGCAATTTTAATATGGCTTTTTTGTATTATTTTTCATTTTTCTTTAATGGTTTTTTTAAACAAACCATCTAAAAAGAGCACTTCCTTTCTTCGCAAGCCCCACCACACTCTTTAAAGCAATCCATATCCCAGATTTTGATACTGTGTTTGTAACTGGTTCCTTAGTCCTGATATATAGTGGCATTGCTATGGGTTTTCCGGTAACACAGATTGGCTCTGAGAATCTCAAATCCAGGGTGCTGTCAATGGAAAGTTATGGTTCTATTTTTAATTCTGCCGCTGTAATGGTTAATTCTGAGCTACTATGATGTCAGTGCATTGACCAATATTTCGAGTAATAGTTCATGATATATTGACACATTCCACTTCCCAAATTTTTGCATATTAAAGTTTATAATTTTTTAGAACTTTTGTATAATACTTTCAGTGTGAAATGTCTGATGGTATGACATTTCTAAAAGAATCATTACACTGTAAATCTTACTGTGCAGAGTTCCGTTGAAATGCATGGGATTTGGCCATTTACTATGACTGTATAGGTTACGCTGCATAGTAAAAGAAAATTCTGAATAATAACTTCTCCATCTAAAATAACTCGGCTATTTCTATTTTTATTATGTTGATTAGAAAAAACAAAAAATTCAGAAGGCACTGCCATTGTTCATTCACTAATGGCCTGCAAAGCAGTTTTGAAAGTATTTGTTTTAGTTTTGAGTTGTTAAACAAAAGTCCAAACTCCAACAAATGTATTTCTTCCTCTCTCTAACTGAAAAGAAAAATTGACAAAGCCATACTGAAAATGAAAAAGTGAGGGGGAAGGACGGGTGTCTGAGCTCATTTTTTTTTCTAAGTTCCAGCCCAAACGTAAATTAAAATGGCCGAGTTATAAACCCCTAAAATGGCAAAGCTGACAGCCCTTAAGTACAGATGTACTGTCTGTTACCATTATAATAATTATTGGGTAAGATGTTTTGTAGTATGTTTTTAAATAATGTAATACAGGACACAGTAATATTCAGGCTAACAGCCAAAACCTACTGTGCTGATGAAATCATATTTATAACTCTTTTTACAAAATTTACAACAATCTTAAACTCAGAAACCTCAGACTATTAGATGTAGATTCAGTAGTTTATTTAAGTGTATTAGGATTATGTAATGTTATATTTCCTTTTGAACAAGACCTGCTTAAATGAATAATTTTAATTCATTAAGGTTTCTTAATGTTACTCTGTCCTTGTTAAGAGGTTGAGCACCTTACCAAAATATTAATTTAATTTTTAAAATCTTGTTTAAATAACTTTGTAATTTGAAAGTAATGAATTCTGTAGTAATGTCTTTCACATATGTGAAGATGAACAATAAAATTGTTTGTTTACAAGTTATGGCTCTAATTTCTGGTAACTTTTGTAATCAGCATAGATATACGCTATAGTTCATGGAATATTTTATTTAAATGAAAAATCTGCACTTAAATCATGTATAATGATCTGATTCAAGTATAAAACCCGGGGATAACTGAATGGGACACTACACCGGAATTTTACCTTGTACTTCCAGTATGCCATTCATGCAGCTCACAAGGGTGTCCTTTTTTAAGTATGTACAGTAGTATGCTCCTTTGTTGATATTTCCACTGGAATATGCAGCTCTCATGTTCTAGTGGAAAAGAAATCCATTCAGTACCAAAAACATAGTCCTCTGAAGTATGAAGGTCTGAAAACTGGGAATTGCCCCCAAATCATCCGTGGTGTGAAATCTTTTTTGGAGAAAGAGTGGTGTGCACATTCTAGAAACAAAAGTTTATGCTTTCATAATTAAGGTTTTGTTAGCTAACAATAATGCATATTTAACTGGTCAAAAGATAGAACAAATTTAAGGTCATGAGTTCACATATATACAAATTGCTGTCATTGGGCAAGTACTAACACTGTTGCAGATCATTCAGCTCATAGAAAAACTTCCTTCTAGCAAAAAATGTAAAATGCAAATGCTGTAAATTCAGATGAATTGTTTTTAAATATTTCAGTACATGCATTAAAAACAAGAGTGAAAACTTGCAGCTTTCGAAAAAGTAGCATATTTCTTTTAAAAAGTGTTTCTTTAATCTCCATTTTATCCACTTGTTTTTTTTTGCAGTTAGCAATCTATTTAACCCTGTGCTAGATATAGCGATCTCATGAAACATTAACACAAGGAAGTAGTGTGATGAAATCCAGACTCCCAGCACTGAAAGGAATTGTGCTTATATTTATCATTGTCTAAGACTTTCCTGAAAGGGGCACTGTCAACCATTTCAGCTCCTTTATCAAAATTGAAGTAAATCTATTAAAAAGATATCCAACTTCTGAATATTTATTTTAAATGGATGACTTTTTCTTGAGACACTTCTATTTTGTGGTGTGATCACAATAAAGCTAGCATATATACTTCCCATTCTGGTTAGTATTAACAATGTTCTCTAAGTCATTCTGTATTCTTGCTGAGACCATTGATTATGACTCATGATGTGAGAGAGATGGACAAGAAGGGGATTTTATTATATTAGGAGCACAGCAAAATACACTGTTTGTCAAATGGAGGTTAGATAGTTGGTAAGAAAAAATGTTTGTAAGCTTTTTGGGGGATATTTCAAGCAATGAGAAATGAAGATAAACTCTTGAAGGATGAAAATCATTGGCAGTGTCCCTTTAAAAACAAACAGATTGCTTGACTTTTATTTTGATACGTTTGAATCTGTTTTTTATTTATTTTGGAAATGTTAAATGTTGCTTTAAAATGTTTTCGAATAAATGCTTTTTAATACTAAAGATGCTTAAAAAAGATCAAAGTAAAACAAGAACCACAATGAAGAAACTGAAATAAAAGTATCAATTTCTTATTATTTATTCAGGAGATTTCACCTAAACCTCAAAGTCAGAAAAAAAATGAAGCTGATATTAGCAGTTCTGCCAACACTCAGAAACCTGCACTGTTACCCTCAACTTTGTCTTCAGGAAAGGCTCGCAGCAAGAAATGCAAACAAGAATCTGGAGATTCTTCTGGGTGTATAAAGCCCCCTAAATCACCACTTTCCCCAGAGTTAATACAAGTCGAGGATTTGACGCTGGTCTCTCAGCTTCCTTCTTCTGTGATAAATAAAACTAGTGAGCACAGACATTTTAAAAAATACAATAATTATAGTAATAAGAAATATACAGAAAAATAATTTTGATTGTAAATTAATGTTGCTTTTTACAATGAATCTGCTTTAAAAAAAATCAAATGTAAGTGGGTGCATTAGGGATAGCTCAAACGTATAAAAAGTAAAATCACGTAATGTGATGTATGATTTATAGTGCAAATAATAATGGCACTTTTATGGTGGTAGAAAGTCATGACTTTTAATGATTTAAGTTCCACTGTATACATCTCCACACTAACAGTAATAGAAATAAGGAGAAAAGAAACACCTCTACTTAAAGGGCCTGATTCATTAAAAATATGGGCAATTTTCTTGCGGATCTTTCTTTTCCATCATTGAGGAACTCTGCCTTCAGTGGGCTGTTTGGATGTACCTGTTGCCTGCACAATCTTGTACAGTGTGTGATATTTTTTCTACATGGGGTGTGAGAGATGTGGTGAACTTCTTTGATGAGAAAATGATGTCCTGTGTAATGTGTAAATACTTTAGTTCATCTTTTTTTAAATATGGAACTGGTTTGCACAATATCGAGATATTGTTGGTGAACAGAAGAATTGGAGTAATTTATTTTGAGCACTTACAAACTCCCTATATATATTTTTTTTTTCTGGAAAGGGATAGTGTAGCCTTTTCAGATTTGTTTTGAGCTTTAGTGACAGTTTATTGCTCAAAGAAGGCTAAATCATGTGGTCAACATAAGTAACATGGGTTTTTGTAAGGCCAGAATTCTAAGTTTAGCTTCACACTCAGAGCTGTGCCAAAATAAGCCTTGAAGAGGATTCCTGCATCACATGTTGTACCCTTGCATCTACAATTGACATCTTAAGGAGACATTTGTAGCAAATTTTAATTGTATGGGGGAGGGAGATGAGCCAATACAGTATTCTGTATTATCTGACTAAATAGAATTGGTTTTAAATTGTTATAAATTTCCCCCACAAAACATTGTCATCCACACACATCCATCATAATACTCCCAAGATGTGGTAAGTAGTTTTGCTTGAGGAGGTTGTATGGCTTGGACTGAAACTACAAATCTGCTAGCCATTATCAAGAAATCTATAACTTCATTGCATAGATATGTACTTTTATTGTGGTTTAGTAGCTCCCACCTCTTGACTTTTCTTAATAGATACGTAATTTTTTTGTTACTGTAAGTCTTCAGTAGGGCAAAGGAGTCTATATAAGGCAGAGAGGAAAAAGAATTAATGATTTACAAAACTCAAATTTATGCAGATTAAATACATTTCCTTAAGTACAATCTATGAAACCTGCATAAGTGAGTTTTAATTTTTTTAATGAATCAGGCCTATAATATCTACATCTCTTCATTTGAGATTCTTCACGTTGAGGTTTAGACGTCTCACTATGTAGTGCATTGACAGTAAATATTTCTGTACTTGCTGTTACCCAGGTGTTGAATGTCCGTTTAGCAGAAAGTGGAGAGAATAGAACTCAAATGAACTATTACTTTCTGTGAATTTATTTTAAAAGTTTTATGTTAATGCTGTCCATGCCTTTTTTTAAAGAGTTTTTAACTGACTTTTTTTTAATTTTTTTAATTTTTTTTCTATACTGGAATGCTGTTGTTTCTTCTACTATAAGCTGTCTGCTCTCCCATTGATTTACAGGGTGGCTCCCCTTAACCCAAATAGATTATTTGCATAAGAACCTCCTCTGTATTGTAATGGAGACTAGATCTCCAACTTCATACAGTATTTTATTGAGCAAAAAACCAAAATCCTGCCTCAAACTTTTAACATTCATGTGATAGTCATAGTTTTAAATATTTTTTACAAAGCACAATATGATTAGCAGTTCTGCAGAAGAGAACTATTTAAAGCGTGACCCTTCTTTAAATCTTAAAATATTTCCATAAGCATATGACATATCTCTACTTCATGAACATTGAAAGATCTCTTTTTAGGTCCGTCACAGCCAGTGAATCCCCCTAGATCCTACAAATATAGCCAGAGGAGGAGAAGATCACAGCGTTTAGCCACTTGCTCGTTGCCTGATGAGTCTGTACAAAAAGTTCCTTCTCCCTCTCCAATCACTGATGGAAAAGTGTTCTCCATCAGTGCTCAAAATCAACAGCCATCAATATCAGAGGGTAATGTATTTAATCTAATAAAGAACAACCCAAGAGAAATTGAGTCATAAAGACATAAGACCTTCCTTTCATGTTTTCACCTAATGAGATCTTTGATTAACATTGAGTACCTTTAGCTAGATTTTTTTGTTGTAACATTGCAAATCATATTGTTTATTGAGCCCATGTATCTTTGTTAATATTACATTCTTTCTTTTGTGTAGTACCTGATGTTGCTCGTATGTCACTTGAGAAGCGTGCACCATGTCTCCCTCTTGACTTAAGCCGTAATTTGGAAGTTACAGCATCACTATCTACAGAATCCACTTCTCGTAATGAATACCCCAGTAAAGAAAAGGAAGATACTCAGATGATTACATATCATTCTTCCAAAGCAGTAACTGATGGAAGAGTAGCTACAGCAGCATCAGGTAAAGAGATTCAGTTTATAAGTAGTTAGGTTCATAGCTGTAGGATATGTAAGTGTAGTGTATGTATTAGGGATGTTAAATATTGCTTAATTGAATAGTTGATTAACCTCATGAATTCTTATGTGTATCAGAGGCAGCAACGTGGGGTGCCAGATGGAAGCTGGTTTGTGAAGGGAGCTAGTTTATAAAGCAGCTCCCCTTGTGGACTGGCTACCTGTCACCCCATGCCACTGTCTGTGATAGAAGTAGCAGTGTGGGGTGGCAGCAGCCCCTGTCTGGAGGTAGGGGAGAGGGGATGGAGCAGAAGGGCTGAGCTGGATCCGGCACAAGCTGGAACTGAGCCAAGCTACCTGCCCACCTGGCTGCTAATACACCTGAAACATAAAGACGCAGTGAGGGTAGGTCCCGGACCTGGCACGAGCCAGGACTGAACCGGGCTGCTGGCCAGCCTGCTAAAAAATTTACTGGGAAGCATGGGGGGTGCTGTTTATTGGTTAATAGACTACACTATTATATCTCTAATATGTGTTCAATCATACAAAATAACAGGATAGATTTTCTGTTATGAGCTTTCAAGTCTTTCATTCTTCCTTGGGGTCCTTTTGGATTCTCTGTCATTTCCCAGCTTTGAATGCATCAGTGCTTTAGCTCTAATGTTATTCAGGGTGAATCTGGTTTTGTGCTACAGACAGGAATCAAAAGCTCATTGACTCTTTTTTTTTTTTTTTTTTTTTTTTTTAAGAGCTACTTTGTTGTCAAATGTTAAACTCAGTGCTACCCATTTGCCTCATAGCTTTACGTTTAAAATTTAGGATATATATTTAACTTTCTTTAGCCAGTCTTGATTTGAGATTTTTCTTCATTTGTTTGATTGAGAAAACACGGTAATGCTTGTAGAGTAGGATTTCCAAAAGCAGTCAGTGGTCTAGCTTTGCTATCATGCAAAATCCACTGGATTTTTTTCCAGTGATCTCAATGGGAGAAATATTACACCAAAATTGAACATTTTGGAAAATCCCCCTGTAATTTATAAATTAGTCCTGATTCTGCAATCTGTTCCTTTGTGTTATTGTAGAGCTTTGTGCTGGGGCTCTGCAGAGATTACCATGTGCATGTAGCTAGTTGCCAGAGTTGGATCCTATCACTTAAGTCATGCACAGTGTTCCATATATAATATATGGATTAAAAAAAAATGTATGTATGGGGCTTGACACATACGCTTATCTACTCGCCCACGGTGAGTAGATTTCAACCGGCGCTCCACTCATGCACAGTGCGGGGTTGGCAAGTGGTTTTCGCTGCGATCCTCGAGCCCTGTGTAAGTATATCGTATGCATGTTCCAAGATGGAATTACTAGGTTTAATTCCATGACCTGTATTATGCCGAGGATTAATCTAAATGATTTTAATGGCTGCTTCTTCCATTAAAATATATGAATCTATAATAGGTATATTTTTTAAGATAAAGTGGACCATAAATATTTTTAAGTTTCCTGTGTTAAATTTTTTTAAATGGTGCTCTTCTCTAACTTCTCCAGTAAAACTTCATGCCTGTGACTTAATCTTCTCTTGTCTGATTGTGCTATATTACAAACAGTAATTTATAAGAATTCTCCTGTACATTGAAATGTGATGTTTCACATTCTATAACATTTTTATACTTCCCTCATAGTACTAAAAAAGGAGAGCTAGAGATTCTGTAGAATCCCATTTATTGAATGTGAATCGCCTGGGTATTAAGCTTATAACTATTTAGAAGAGCAGTGTCCACTGGGGCTGTATATATGCCCCCTCAAGGAATCTGTATATTCTTTTTTGAGTGATGTCCCCATGAGTGCTTCACAGTAGATGTCCTAGCACCTCAGATTGAAGATTTTTCCAGCAGTATTTGGTTGTGCCATGCACTCATGGCAGGAGGTGTGTGCCGTTCACGCTTTCTGAGTTCTTGCATGTGGTACTGCCCTCTATCACAGATGGAGTCTGATTCCTCCCTTTCCTCTTTGCATACCTGTAGATAAGAATTCAGTTCTCAGTTAGTTTAAAATTGTTCCTAGCTTCTTCTTGTTAGTTTAAAAAAAAAAAAAAAAAAACTTACTCTTCAAAGGTGAGTAAGGTGTCAAGATGATAGGGAACAGCCAGCATGGATTTGTAAAGAACAAATCATGTCAAACCAATCTGATAGCTTTATTTAATTGGATAACAAGTCTTGTGGATAAGGGAGAAGCGGTGAATGTGGTATACCTAGACTTTAGTAAGGCATTTTATATGGTCTTGCATGATATTCTTCTCAATAAACTAGGGAAATACAACTTAGATGAGGCTACTATAAGGTGGGTGCATAACTAGCTGGATAACCGTACTAAGAGTAGTTATTAATGGTTCACAATCCTGCTGGAAAGGCATAATAAGTGGGGTTCCACAGGGGTCTGTTTTGGGACTGTCTCTGCTCAATATCTTCAATGATTTAGATATTGGTATAGAAAGTACTCTTAAGTTTTCAGATGATACCAAGCTGGGAGGGGTTGCGACTAATCTGGAGGATACGGTCATAATTCAAAATGACCTGGACAAATTGGAGAAATGGTCTTAGATAAATATGATGAAGTTTAATAAAGACAAATGCAAAGTGCTCCACTTAGGAAGGAACAATCAGTTTCACACATACAGAATGGGAAGCGACGGTCTGGGAAGGAGTACAGCAGAAAGGGATCTAGGGATTATAGTGGACCACAAGTTAAATATGAGTCAGCACTGTGATGCTGTTGCAAAAAAATAAACATGATTCTGGGATGTATTAACAGGTGTATTGTGAGTAAGACACGAGAAGTCATTCTTCCGCTCTACTGTGCGCCGGTTAGGCCTCAGTTGGAGTATTGTGTCCAGTTCTGGGCACCGCATTTCAAGAAAGATATGGAGAAAATTGAGAGGTTCCAGAAAAGAGCAACAAGAATGATTAAAGGTCTAGAGAACATGACCTATGAGGGAAGGCTGAAGGATTGGATTTGTTTAGTTTAGAAAAGAGAAGATTGAGGGGGGACATGATAGCAGTTTTCAGATATCTAAAAGGGTGTCATGAGGAGGGAGAAAACTTGTTCATCTTGGCCTCTAAGGATAGAATAAGAAGCAGTGGGCTTAAACTGCAGCAAGGGAGGTTTAGGTTGGACATTAGGAAAAAGTTCCTAACTGTCAGGGTGGTCAAACACTGGAATAAATTGCACAGGGAGCTAGTGGAATCCCCATCTCCGGAGATATTTAAGAGTAGGTTAGATAAATGTCTATCAGGGATGGTCTAGACAGTATTTGGTCCTGCCATGAGGGCAGGGGTCTGGACTCGATGACCTCTCGAGGTCCCTTCCAGTCCTAGTATTCTATGATTCTGTGATTCATGTAAATAGTTATTGCATCAATACCATCGTCAGACAACGCAGCGAAACTGGGTCTTACGACTGGTCTTTCGAGAGAGACAGAAAGAAAAAACGAAAGAAAGAGTCTGCAAAATAAAAACACAAATACTACAAAAGTCTGCTGCATGACACAGGAGACTGGTAGATGATCCCAAGTCAATTAAAAAAAAGAGAGAGAAAGAGAAACAAGAAGGAAAGAGTCTAACAAAATGCGTGGCTTTCTCAGGTTTCACAGTGTCGCAATGCTGTGCCTACCTCAGAAGGCCACGGGTCATGTATTCACTTCTTGAGTGAGACAGACGTTCTGCAGAGATTTGTGCATTGTTGTAGCTCACGGCCAGAGCCCGAAAAGACAGAGCTCAGACTCAGGATGTTACTGTTTGATAAGGCTCTTGAGCCTCAAACAGCTAAGGGGAGGGGGTACTCAACAGGAGACCCCCACTAAGCAAAAGAAACGAGCAGGTTTGCCTTAATCTAAACCACCCACAAAAAAGAAGATATCTCCAGTCCTCACCCTACCTCCCAGAGTCAGCACGGGAGATAAGCCGGGCACCTCCTGTACCTCGTGCCACATCAGTTGTGGAACTGAAACCATAAACTCCACAGTCGTTGGCCAGCAGCACTGATGATGTCGGAGGCCCGGGAACTGGACAAGACATGGGCACCACCCACGCCAACGATGCTGGACAAAACACTGGCACCAGCAAAGGCCAAGGCGATATCGACTAGACCCTTTTGCTTTCCCAGCCTGGAACTGGTCCCTGCCCACCGGCACCAATGCCTCCTTCATTGGCAAAATTCTCATTGGCACCGCAGGAGTCACCTTCTACTTGTCACCACCCGGCTTGCAAGCACAGTCATAATGCTCCAGTGCTGATGTTGAGATTGCGCTCAAAATCACCATGCAGTGTCTCCTACAGAAAACCTTCTCGGCCCCCATCTCCAGTCAGGGGGTCCTCCCGTTCACCAAGATCACCGATCCTTTTGCACTACAGTGAATGTAATGATGATGGCAGTAGTGTGTTCTCCCAACACTCCTCCCCCGTTAGACCAACCACACCCCATTAGGGGCACCAACCATGGTATTGTCACCATCCCCATGGTATCCTGACTGGTTTTACCACCCTCATTATCCATAATGATGTTCTGCAGGCAGGCACTGGGCACCATCCAGACACCGATTGATGGCACCATCAACACCTGCCCACAGATCGGTTTGAGTCTCTCGTTCCCATAGTCCCTCTCCTCAAAAAGAGGGACAGATTATCGATGACAACCTAATCAACCGGGAATCTCTCCAACAAATAAGTCATATTCCTCACCGGACAAAGTGATCATCCTAGATGATACATTTCCCACTGACAACCTAAAAGAAATTCAAGAGCTTTTCAAGAGGTGCAAGAAAAGCAACACACAAAACAAAAATTGCACTTCCAATTGATGAAGCAATTATGGAGGCAGTGGATGAAATTTGGCAGACCGCAGCCTGAGCGCCACCTACTAATAAGTGCGCTGACAGAAAATACTTTGTTCCTTCAAAGGACATGGATTTTTTTATTCCTCCACCCACAACCAAATTCTCTAGCTGTTGATGCT